CCACGGTCAGCGCCAGGCCGGGCCACACCAGGGGCAAGCTGCCGGGAAGATGCGAAGCCTCTGCCCAGGGGCACCGTCTCCCTCCTGCTGGGACAGAGGTGGTCACACCTGGACAACTGCCGGGTCCTTTTTCTTTTTAAAATCTATTTCTTACTGACGTCAGAGGGGAAGGGAGAGGGATATGGGGATAAGATCCACGATGGGGGAGAATCACACGCCCCACACTGGGGATCCAGCCCACAACCCGGGCCTGTGTCTGACCGGGAATCGAACCGTGACCTCCTGGTTCATAGGTCAACACTCAACCACTGAGCCGCGCCGGCCCGGTGCAGCGCAGGTTCTGTGACCCCCGAGCGCACCACTGAAGCCTCAGCCCCCTCGTGTCCAGCTCAGACGCCTGGGTATGGAGGAGGGCCCTGGGGCCCCGCCCGGCTGCACCCCAAATGTGGGTGGCACCAGCACGGGGTCAGGAAAGGCGGCCCAGGAGACCCCTCCCCGGAGGCTGGGCACCTGCCTCCCGGGGCCCGATCCTTCGGAGCCTGCGTGTCAGCGGTACGACTAGCAATGAACCTGTACTGGACCAGCAGCCCATGCCGACGGCTCTGCTGCTGGACAGGGAGCCACGTGGTGGGGGCGAGAGGCCAGGCCTCGAACAGGCCCCGCCCACCGGAGCCCTGGGTCCAACTCTTGGCTCCAGGCCCTTCACAAGCTGGGAGCAGGGAGCCCTCCCTGATCTGTGGGTGTTGGCCAGACCAGCTCAGCAGTGGGGGCGCTGGGCCCTCGAGCTGGGGATTGAGGGTGCCTGTCCCCCACGCGGAGGGTCCTTCCAGCCCCCAGCACTGGCGCCACCTGGAAAAGGGCCAGAGGGAGCTGCCGAGGTGCCAGGCCTTCCTGCCACAGCCACCAGCTGCCCCCAACCCCAGGCGACGCGCAGGCCACTGCTGGTGTCCTCACCCACCCAGCTCCCAGCTCAGCCCAGACCCTGGACACCCTGACGCCCGGGGAGGACAGGAGCCCCAGGCACAGCCCCCACAGCAGGCCGTCCGCCTGTCCCTGGGAGCAGGGGTCACTCCAGCCTCAGACCGACCTCAGGGAGTCAGCCTCAGGGAGAGACGCGGGAAGCACTTTTCTCCAAGGCCTCGCTCCCCACGAAGACGCCTCACAGCTCCATGCAGTTTCGGTTCTTCAGGCTTTGCTCCCTCGAGGAGCTGACGGCTGTGCGATGAGGTTGGGCTCTGCCGACGGGCGGGGACACGAGGTCCAAAGAGGAGTCTGAGGACAGGCAACTGCCCGCCAGCAGGGACTGCACACCAGACCCAGGGCCGGACACTGAGGGTCAGACAGCTGGGCCGGAGGCACCACTGACCGGGGCACAGGGCCAACCCACCCCGCCGAGGGCCTCACAGAAAGGAAGGAGTGCTGTCTGCTGGGCAGTCCGCCGCCCGTGAGCCTCAGGAATCTCGAGTGTGGAACAGGCACTGACCCCGACGCGCCCTCGAGCGGCTGTGGATGGAGGGCGGGTCCAGCAGCGTGGCCTTCCCACCAGCGTCCACTGTCAGGACATGGCCTCTGCTGCAGCCGCAGGGCCATGCCCACAGCCCACTCACAGGCCAGCAGGTGCA